AAAAAAAGGAAAAGGGAATTTCAACACTTGCGCTCAGTTGTAAAACCATCTTGATTTTTGCCTGTCTTACTGACATCCATGAGAGTTCTACCTCAGCCTTAAAATCAATAAACCAACAGGAGAAAGAAATAAATACAGTATTTGGCATTTTAATTATTGGTAAGAAGTTATGAAATATGAGCATAATGCATAAAGGAGCAAAAGCTGAACTCAGTGTATCCTCCTTTTTGTTTATGTCAGAGTTGGTCTGACAGCAAAATATGAACTGAGACACTGTTGCCACATTTTTTAAAGAAACGTATTAAATGTTCCTTAAGCTGATTAAACTAGTTTTATTTTAAATATACAGGTTGTGAGCTAAATGTCTGTAGTTACATTATAGAGTTGCTAGCCCTAGACATCCAAAATGCATGAATCAGAACATTTAACTTATGGTATTTTGAAATAGACTACCATCCTGCTTTTCTTTTTCTTTCTGGATTTTGAGCTTAAAAATACCATACTATCTTTGTAACCACAGAAGAGCAAAACTCTTTTCTTTTTTTTCTTTCTTTTCTTTTCTTTTCTTTTCTTTTCTTTTCTTTTCTTTTCTTTTCTTTTCTTTTCTTTTCTTTTCTCTCTTCTCTCCTTCTCTTCTCTTCTCTTCTCTTCTCTTCTCTTCTCTTCTCTTCTCTTCTCTTCTCTTCTCTTCTCTTCCTTCCTCCTTTTTTTCCTTTTCCTTTTCCTTTTCCACAAAATGCAATCGAGAGGCTTCAGGAGTTAATTCTCACTGTCTGGTCCTAGCAGATATGAATGAAATTGCTGTGACTATGAAATATCCCATGACTTGCAATAGGAAAATGAGACCTGACAGCTGGATGGGTGACATATAGGTAGTGTAAAAAGAAAGCAGAAGACCAGAGCCTGAGAGGCTGATGTGGGGTTTGACAGCTGCACTTCTCCAGCCATCTCCAGGCAAGGCTCAGGTAGCTCCCAATGACAAGCCATTCTGCTACAAACTTCTCCTAGAAGTTCATATTTAACCCCAGAAAAATGTGCCTACAATAGTAATTAAAGATGAGGATTTGTATCCTCAAGTACCAACCTCTTCACTATTGTTACCAGAGACAGGGCTTGAGGAAAGGGCTTGAGAATCCTCTCTCTTCTCCTTTGTGTCTGTGGAAGGACAACTGACATTTCACTTGGCCTCAGCTGCTTGGGGTGTTGCAGGCAGCTGACCAGACCTTGAGGAGGTAGGTACTGCATTTTCCCCTAATTCCTCATATTTTCCCCCAAGCCTAAAATAAAACAGGTCCCTTTTCTTCTCCAGTTTTTGGGATTCAAAGATAAGGACATTGTACTATCTCTGGGAGACGGTGCCTTGTGGAGTTAGTTTGAGAAAAACTCCAATTCTTGTTGAATTATTCCTGCTAGCTTCCAGAAAGCCAGTAATGTAGACTTTTGTAGGAAGCCAGCAGTGTGCACTGGGAGATCAATCTGACACTGAATTACTTTCCAAAAAACCATTCATTCTCTATTCCTTTTTGTTTGGTGGGTATCACCTTTGGGTTATTCCATGAGGGCTATGAAACTCCCATTGTATGATCCTGCAAGCCCTCCCACGAGCCAGCATCCCTGAGCACTGAAGTGCCCTGCAGCTCTGGTCACAGAGCTCTAAAGCAGGAGCATGTTTATGTGCTTCACAACTCAGATTGATAATTTGTCTCAGCAACACAACCTTCAAAGCCTGGCAATACCAGGATTTTGATTCCTTGTGGATGTTTGGTGATTAACTGCTTGCGTCTCCAAACGCGTTGTTGAACAAGGACTGCACGTTTTATTCCAGGACAGTTATAAAGAGATTCAGCTGGTTTTGGCTGAGGTAGAGTTAATTTTGTTCACAGTGGCTGGTATGGAGCTGTTTTAGATTTGTGCTGGAAACAGTGCTGATAACACAAAGATGCCTTTGTTACAGCTGAGCAGGGCTTACACAGAGCCAAGGCCTTTTCTGCTCCTCACCACATCCCAGCAGCAAGGAGGCTGGGGGTTCACAAGGAGCTGAGAGTGGGCACAGCCAGAACAACCGATCCTAATGGATCACAGGGATATTCCAGACCATATGGCACCATGCTCAGCATACAGAGATGGGGGAAGAAGAAAGGGAAGAGAGATATTGGCAGTGATGGCATTTGTCTTCCCAAGTCACCATTTTATGTGATGGAGCTCTGCTTTCCTGGAGGTGGTTGAACACCTGCCTGCCTGTGGGAAGATATAAATTAATTCCTTGTTTTTCTTTGCTTGTGTGGAAGGCTTCTGCTTTACCTATTAAACTGTCTTCATCTCAACCCACAGGATGTTTTCTACTTTTACTCTACTGATCCTCTCCCTGATCCCACTGGTGGGGGTGTGAACAAGTGTCAGTGTGAGGCTTAGCTGCTGGCTGGGGTAAAACAACAGTGCCATATTTTAACAACATTTAAGCACATTTAAACAATGTGCCACATTTTGTGGGAAGAGCATGCCTGTGATTCAGGGATACAAAAAAGACTCCCCTCTGGGCATGCAGCAGTGCCCAGTTATGAGATGGATTTATTCAGATTTCTGCCTCTGTCTATCCCTTACACTTACCAGTAAAATACACCCACTTCCAGAAAGTAATGCATCAACAGACTGAAAGCTCACAGCATCCTACGTAACAATCCTTGTCAGAAAGTACCAAATAACACATTAAGTCAAAACTACTGCAAGAATAACACTACTGTTACGTACAGAAAAAAACTGGTTAACGTGTATTCTCCATTTTTGGAAGCAGCGTCATAAGATCCATATTGATGACAACTGCCAGACTTCAGCTCAGAGTGATTGAGATTTTTTATATTCAGCATCTGTTCCTCTTTCTTCCTAAGCAGTACTTTTGTTCAAAGTAAGATATGCAGATCTGAAATATTTGATTAAGTAGCTTGATTTTTGCATTATATAGAGGAATATAGAAAGAAAATGTTCAGAAGTAGAACACCTTAGAGGAAAGTAAAATTCTCAAATCATGAGCTCAGAAAAAATCTTGATCAATGGTTTGCAAGATTTTTTTTGTCAGAGGCTCTGTCGCAAGGTACAGAAGAGGTAGGACAAGTAACATTTCAACAAGAACCTCCTGCTCACTAGACCTGCTGAAAAGCATCATCATAAGACAGAACTTTTTAACCCATCTTTAGCACAGGCCTGCTGAAGAGTATGTATTTAAACAATCTTTCCTCTTGGACTGGTCATGAGTTTTCTGAAACTTACTCTGCTTGAGTGCTCATTCCAGTGAATTTAAAGCAATCTCATCTGAAGTGTGTGAACATTAATGACTTTAGACATTAAAAACATTTTTTTTTTCCATGTGGCCTTTCTGCACAGCCTGCCCAATGAAGGAGGGGGATTTGTGTCCCTGGGGAGGTTTGGGAGCAGGCTGAGCAGACGCCCTACCAGCAGTGTGGGTGCTGCTGGTGCAGTGCAGTTGTAGCTGCGAGATGAGCACGAACCTCCTGAGCTTACTCCAAGAGAGGCTTTGCAAATTGGTTTTCTGTGAGGCACCCTGATGGCATCACTTTGATGAGCTTAGAGATAGTAGCTTTCAGCTGAACCTGTCCTGGGCTCCCAGCACTAATCTCCATGTTTGTAAGTGGGAGCTGAGGGTAAAGGCACCTGTGCTGGCTGGAAGTCTAATTATGTTCCATCCTAGAGTGATTTGCAGGAGAGTTCAAACTACAAAACTCATAATTCTTTGTGACAATACCATCTGCCATGGGTGATCTATATAATCAGGGAGAGTTCGCTTAGGACACAGTTATTTCTATGGCTAGAATTAAATTTTTTTATTGTATTCATATAGCAGTTATTTTATTTACTTCAGGCCAATACACATGGCTTCTAAAATAATTAAATGTGTAGACAGATTGTAATTTTTGAGATTATACTGAAGAACTTTCTAAATTATAATCAGATTGATTAGCTATCACTCATTTAGGAAGAGATCAAATAGATGGTAAATATATGCTTGATGAAATGGTCAAAATTATATGGGTTTTTACATTCCTCTGGTCTTAGGATGTCAATTACTGTCCATAAAATCAAGAGGAATGATTTTGTAAGTCTTAAAGGGACTGAAAATGTATGTAGATGTTGGAAACTGGTTCTTTGCAATTTTTGCTTTCATGGCAAACAATTTGCTAAATATTATATTTCAAATGAGCTGATATCCTTTCTCTCTTCTGCTAGCAGCAAGAACTATGTGCTTCCTTCCTGCCGAATACATATGTGACATGGTTTTTGCATATCTCATTTTAAATTGTGTCAGAACCATATAACTCAGAGACACCAGAAAAGAGTCTGTACTTTAACACTTGTATCGTCGTTGGCAGGACTACTCAAACCTATTCAGGTATATTTAAAAATCCAGAATATAGAACATATAATTTGGTCTTAGAATGATAAACTTGGCCTTTTTTTTTCAAGATAAACTCAGCCCAAGTACTTATAGTGCTATTATAGACTCTGAAGCTTTTATTGTTAATTTGAAGATCTCTTAGTATTCACTTTTTATAGCCAAATGCAGGCTTGCTATGAGAAGAAGAGACCATGTCCAATCACATCATCCAGATCAGCTGATGATCCAATTTCTCATCTCAGTAATGGGGATGCCGCTTCTCTGAAGTCTTTAATAGCCTTGAGATGAAAAATTGGCTTAACAGAGCTTCCTGTGGTTTGTTCGTTTTCCTGAACAGTGCTATACTGTGCCTGACCCTCAGGATGCCTTGAAGTTAACAAAGAGTATCAATGAAGTAATGATAATTGAAATAGCATTATAAATTCACTAATTATTCCCAGTACTAGACAGCTATCCTGCTGAATATATGCAAACCAGAATGCAACCAGACAGTGCCAATTATTTTTTCCCTTCCTACTATAGCTGTCTTGATGCTGATGTAACTGTGCAATGATGACTCTGAACAAGCAGAACCAACGAGCAGTGAACTTACAGCTCTGGTATTGAAAGCGCGTCCTCTCGTAGGGCCTCAGCTAGAAGATAAGCTTCACGTTCCTTCTATGTCCGCAGAAGAACTGAATTCAAATCAAACAAGTCCTCAAATGGGAGCAGAGTCTGTTTCAGAGTTGGATGTTTGCTGCACAGCACCCGGGGGAACCCGGGAAGCTGAAGGCAGGGGATCCACCGGGAGATTTCTCTGGCCCCAGCCAGGAGCTCCTGTCGGCTGTTCTGTGTATGCTAAGCATATATTTTTTCAGACAGATAAATCTAATGCAAAAATACCCTCCTGACTCCATTATTTCTAAGAAGGGAAGCTGTGCTTCCAGATCTCTCAATGGGACCCCTGAGTGCAATGATTTCAGGACACCAAAGAGCTTGGACGCTAATTTCCATCTGTAATCTTTCCGGTAGAAGAACTCTTTGGGTTTGGGAACAATGGTGCCCGTTTGCTTAGCTCACCAGATTTACACCCTGCCCTCTGCCTGTCTCACAGCTCCATCTGTTTCCCTGATTTCCTGCTTGTGTGCTCTCCTGGGCTGGGCCTTAGGCTGCCCCAGCCATCCTCACTGGGGACAGCTCCTTCAGATGTGTTTTCTCCAGCTCAGCCTCGCTTTGCAGTTTTGGGCTGTTTCCTGACAGCTCCCCATCCTTCTTGATCTCAAGGCATTTTTACAAGTAGGGTGGACTGGCAGTCTGGTAACAAAACCACTAATCCTTTGTTTCTCAACTGGAAAGGGCTAAAGTAAAATTACACTGGACAGAAAAAATCTGCATCTCCAAATAGATGCTAAGTGGTGACAACAAAGAAACACACATTATTTACTTGTGAGCTCTACAAGTGAAGTATACACTGTACAAAATAAAAGCAGTGAGTCAGTCCCATCTTGACCCATCCTAGAGAACTTGCCTCTACTGCTCTGCACATATGGCTGCTTAGTAGGGCCTCCAATAGTGACAAAATTGTCAGTGAGGCCTCTCTGTTGTCAAATATAAAACCCCTTCAGCACTTGGTACCTGAAAATCCATTGTGTGTGCGCCAACTTAGCAAGCACCCAGGTTTTGCTGCTAGTTTTTAATATTTTTTTTTAATTGTGGTGGTTGCTGTGAGAATGTAGCCTGTCACTACAGGGAACTGCAACCTTTTACAAATTATGCATTTTCTAGCAATCATTACTTTGCACACGTATTCGTCCTGTTCAAACAAACAAAAGTAACTATACTCCAAAAACATCAAAGGGAGTTAAAGTACAAAACAATGTGGATTTCTATATTTCAGTATTCATCCTTCTCTTTTTAAAAATTATTTTAGGGCACAAGTGGAAAAAAATTACTGTTGTTTAGCTGGTTGGTAACAGCTGGTGATACTTTATTTCAGTCTTATCATTATTAACATAGCAGATAGTCACCATAATAACATTCATCAATAAATTAAATGTTCCCGTCTTATATGCTTCAATTGGAATCTCATTGTAATTTAGCACAACTGAAATGTTCATTTGAGACAAAGTACTGTTAATACCTGAGTTAAACAAAATAATTTTCTTTACGCCTGAGCTCTGGGATATTCGCACTGTTGCTTTAAACTTGCATGTCCTGAACTAAAGATTCAAAAATGCTGAAGAACTTCAAAGGGTTCATTATGCTCAAGTAATCCAACAAGTATTAACAGTCTCTCATCCCTAAAAAGAGAATAATTACATAGCTAATTAATTTGCCACAGTACATAATCCACTGACATTTACAATAAGCACCCCTATTGGAGGTTGAAGTAAATATTAAGTTGCACATAAAACTATAAATAGCAAGAATTCTGATGCCAGGCAGTTTCAAAATACTGTGGAAAATAGATGAGCACTGGCTAGATGAAATAAACTTGAAAGTCTCAGCAACATGACCATGGAAGCACACAACTATCAGTGAATGCAAGCACGGTGCAGACATTCCCAGTGCCCTCTGGCCATGCTGGCAGGCAGCTCTGGTCAGGAGTTCTTATGAGGGACTAAAGTGAAGAGTCTGAAGTTTGGATTTGGTAACTTTTAGCTTTTTTGTCTCAGCTGGAGGGAGTCTCAGCATGAAGTCTCCATTTAAAGGCTGAAGCAGAGTTGGTGTGTGTGATGGGATCCCCCCTTCTACTGCCATGGATGGCAGTGACAGCCCCTCGTAGGATGGAGGCAGAGCAGTTCTGGTGTGAGACCTTTTGGATAAGGATTTAATGCAGGTTTAGTTGCCGTCACAGCTGCTGATCCTAGCTGCTGACAAAGCTGCCTATCGTGCCCCCTTCTCTCCATGGAGGTTATGGAACCCTTTGGTTCCATTGCTTGGATGTTCTGCTACTGTCCTCTGAGTGCTGGAAGCAGGAGCCTCTTGGCTCAGCTCCAGGGCAGGTGGCACAGCTCACAGAGTGATTTAAAGTGCCAAGGATGGAAGCTGCAAGCACGGAGTGCTCCTGAGTGTGGGATATGCTGCGCAAACTCGGGCGCTTTGAGGCGCTGGCGCAGTATTGCACCTTGGCTACCAATTACTGCAGGTGTGCCACAGCTCACATCTCTCTCCTTCCAGTGAAGTGCGGGTTCCTTTGCAAATGCTGTCTCAAATTTGTTAGCAGAAAGGCTTCAGTTTCTGTATCAAGGATGAACATCCCAAAATTTACCACAGTGTATGGGCTCCTCAGTAGAAGAAAGACAGGGAGCTACTGGAGGGGGTCCAGCAGAGGCCAAAGGGGGCTGGAGCATCTCTCTTATCAGGGCAGACTGCAGGAGCTGGGCTGCTTAGTCTGGAGAAGACTGAGAGGGGATCTCACCAGTACATATAAATAACTCACAGGTGGGTGAGAAGAGGATGGCGTCAGACTCTTGTCAGTGATGCCCAGTGACAGGATGAGGAGCAATGGCCATAAAGTAAAACACAAGGAATTTCACCTCAGTGAGGGAGAACTTTACATTGAGGGAGGCAGAGCACTGGAACAGGCTGCTCAGGGAAGGTGTGGAGTCTCCCTGTCTGGAGACACTCAAAACCACCTGGACACATTTCTGTGTCACCTGTTTTAGGTAACCCTGCCTTAGCAGGGGGGTTGGACTAGTTGACCTCTAGAGATCCTTTCCAACTCTAAAAATTCTGTGATATGCCCAGAGTCTCAGGTTCTGCAAAGTTTTAATTGAATTTTGCTGAATATTTAGAAGCATATTTATTAAGGATTTATTTTACAATGGAGGTAAAAAAAAAAGAATTTTACTTCATTGCTTCATCTTGATTGAGAAGAATCTGAAGATTGTTCTGCAAATGTTCCCTCCTCCTGAAAAGATAGCATTCCTGCATTTGGATGAATGTTTATTTACTCACTTGTAATCTATAATTAATCAGATGTTAATTACATCCTTAATGCAATAAAATTAATGCAATAAATAATCACCCATCTTTTTTTATTAGATTCCAAGTAATTATTTATGTGCTTGTGATATTCTGATTTTGTTTACATGGTATAAAAGCTTCCTAAATTTCCTATTCTTCCTGGTGAAAACAGTAAAGGTGTCAGTGGGAGAAGGTAAATCACCTAATGTGTTGTTGTGCCTGAACTTTTCCAGTGGGTGGTAATCATTTTGAAGTCTTACAGTCCTGACAAGAATTGTGTAAGTGAAGCCAAAGAGAAACAACATGCAGCACCTCTCTGTCCTTAAACAAACACTAATCAGATATTTTAGTAAATATTTATTGGTGAGCCAGAGGGAGAAGGAGGAAAGGTGAAGACTAAGGTTAAGACTACCATTTGTAAATTTTAAATCACTAATTTGAAAGCAGGATCACAATTTAGACCTTTGAAGTCTCCTGGGCTGAATGATGAGAATGTTCACTGTTGAGCCCTTCTGCTGCCTCTCTTTGGAGCTGTGACAGTGCAGCACATTTTGTACCCATGTCCTGACTGAAATTTTTCTTGTCAGCATTAAAAAGGAAGATCAGTGTAAACTCTTACATATTCATTAATAAAATGCTACAGTTTGGATTGCTGATTCCCCTTTGTTTTAAAGACCAAAGGGCCAAATTGTGTGAATCTCTGAAGAACATGGAAAAACTCGGGTGAGACAGGCAGACCTGAGCATGTCAGGAGGAAACAGGCAGCTCATGTTTCTGGCCTGGCTTTTCTACTTGCATCATTCATCTAAAGTTGCCAGTCAAGTTTCTTTCAAACCAAATAATTTTGCTTGTAAGAAAGCAAATCAGCTTATAAGAGCTCCTCTCCAGCTATACAGCAACTTTGTTAATTGCCACTGAATTTCCCACAGGTTATAAAAGATATAGATTAACCACCATTACCACTGAATTAGTATATTAACTTTCTACCTTATATGACTTGAGTAATGCAACAAAGGTAGGTGAAAATGGTCTGTTTACTGTAGATGTACCTGCCATGAGCAGCACCTGTGGCTTCCAGGAACAAAGTGTCCTCTCTAAGACACACAAAACACTAAGGATTCAAAGGTTGCTCTGGAGCCTGATCTATGCTTGGTGTTGATTACCTCTGCCATGGTAAATATTAAAGTTTGTTGTAGTGGCATTTCAAAAAAACCAAAAACCAACAAAACACAAAAGGGAAAAAGTAAGGATGGCAGAGAACAGGGCTTACCCTGTTCCTAGTTAAAGCAGTTCTATAAACAGCAGTGGTATCTCAGGTCTGCAAAATTCATTCACCTTTTTAATAAATTCAGGAAATAACAGACTTATTTCTACATTTTCTTACCTTGACTTTTTCCAGATTTTCCCAGTGTCTCCACAGCATGCATTCCAGATCCATTTCAGGTCTCCACTGCTGTTATTATTTGGGACAATATTCCAAATGCAATCCTACTCTAATTAAATATCTTAATAAAATTAATATATTGCAAACATATCTGTAACTATCCCCTTGGAATATTTGATGCCCTCTGAAAAGGGTTCCTGTTCAGTCTCTTGATACAATGGGAAGGTCTAGAAGAATAGGAAATAAAACACTGCCTGCAAACTCATGTCATGCCAGCTATTTCATGCCAAATGTTGTTCTCAAGCACCTGGCAAGCACAATTCATTCATTTTCCAAATGTCAGTGGCCAGCCAGCTCCTCAGGACATTCCCTCCCAACACAGGGACACTTGATAGGCACAATCGGGCAGTTTTGGCTGCCAGCCTTATTCCTGCGTCACGTGCACGAACTGTAAGGACGGAAGCGCCTCTTGTTTCTGTTTTTGTCTTCCAAGTGGCAACTTTTTATGCTCTCCTTCCAATTTATTTTACTCTGCCACCAGTCCTTGCACAGTAATTCAAGAGGGCTTTGACAGAGGCATATCTGGAATACTGAAAATACCCCGTAGGTGCCCAGATGCAACAACTGGTTCCTGCTGTGGCACTCAAACCATTAATGGCACGCTGCAAGCACCGAGCTCTGGGGGGCTGCAGGAGCCAGGCACGTGTGCAGGTCTCCTGTCGGCACCATCATTCACCACTGCCCTCTCCAGGACACAGGGAGTGCTCCAGACCCAGGGCTGCTGGGGCAAGTGGAGGCGTCAGGAGGTCCCTGTCTCAGCCCAGGGTGCTCCAGCTTCCTAGCCACATCACCAGTTCTCTGCCCTAAAGCTTGCACCTACAGCTGGCTGGCAGCTGGAATGCCATCCAAAGAGTGAACTGAAAGAAGCCTTGTGCCCACACAGAGGGTGTCCTCAGTAGGGTGTTTGTGTGCAGCCCGTCTCGCCGGCCTTGAGACGCAGGCTTGGCCCCTGTGTACATAATACTGCTGTACACAAATGGGCTTTGAGCTTCTTGGACTCATAAATATGACCAAAAAGCACTTTTCATTTCCATCCAAAGTAAATTCAAGTGATGCTTCCTCCCATGCCTGAAAAATACATTTTCTTCAGTGTTTTCAGTCTCTCTCATTTAGTGTGAAGAATGTGAGATGTGTGAACACAGGGTTTTGAAATGTCAGCCAATTAGCTACTAGTCATGAGGTGAATTGAAAATATTTTTCTTTCTCCTTTTTTCATAACAAGATGACATCTCACCTATCTGAACACTTGGCAGTCCCTATTTCTGGCAGCCAAAGCCTCTGATTGACATTTTTTATGCCAGTCACTGAAGACCCACAATTTATGCAAGCAAAAAACCTGCCCTGATGCTTAAAATAATTTAAAAAGACATTTGTATAAGTGGCCAGAAGCATCAATGGTAGAATTTACAGCTGTCTATATGCTCTTTGCATCCTGTATTTTTACCTATTTGGCGGCAATGGACTACAGAAGCGCTCAGTCTCCAGGGTAAACGATGAAGTTCACACGTCCATGCTGAGTCTCTGAAATGTCTCTGCTGCCTTCAGGCTGCTTGATGGGGAGAAATGACCAACTATTGGCAGAAAACACTAAATCTGCTCTTTCTTGTTGCCTGAGAAGGATGGACACCACACAAGAGCAAGTGCGTGCATGAGTGTGTATGCAAAAACCCCAACAAACTCCAGTGCCCTCCCACCCGACCCCACCTTCCATGAAAGAGGTGGGGCTTGGATGAATCCCTAAATCCTCAAAGGCGTGCAGGTGCCCACACAGCCTTTTGAGGACCTGGCATAAACTAGTCAGCACTCAGGTAACCAGAGGAGACTGAGTGACGTCTGGTGTGCTAGAAAGGGTCTGTGGCTAAAAGTTGTCCTTGACCCTACACCTGTTCACCTTTAGGGAAAAGCCCATCTTTCCTCTCAGCGTGGTCAGCCAGGAGAAAGGCCAAAGGTGCGTGGTCAGGAGGCAATGCTGATGCTTCGGAGATCTGTGATTTATTTGGAAGGAGGGCTGCATTACTGACTGGGCCTTTCAATGGTTATGTTCTCACCCTGGTCCTGGTGACATTTACACTAGCATGCAGCAAGGAACAGCACTCTGGATACAATTAAACCCCAATGCAACTGCTAGCTGTGACAAGGAGCAGGGGATGGCAGCACCTGATTACCAGCACATATGGCCACTGGTGTCAATGGAGCATTATCATTTACTCTCTCACTGAGTCATCTCCCCTTGAGGAAGTTGCATGAAAATAACATTTAACAAGGGTGATAAAGACTGTAGAGATAAAAGAGAGTGAAGAATCTGTTAGCAATATTTCTGTAGCAAGCAGATGACTGAATGTATTTCCAAATGTTACGTAATCTGTGTGACTCACAAGACCACAGTCTATAGAGCATTTGGTACAGCAGCGAATCACTGTAAATACCAACAACATTTCTGTAGCCTGAGATCACTGAAGTCTGAGATGTTCCGAGACATAAACCTGCAGATTTGCATTAAGGTTCTTTTCAAATAGCTGATATGATTATGCAGTGGTTAAATTTTTTTGTTTGTTTGCTTTATCACATCTTTATGAAGAGCAGGAAACTCCCATTGTATAAAGTACTCTTGGAGAAATTTTACACAAGGAGTGAAGAAAATGCACTGCAACCATGTCTGCATAACTAACTCTTTTCAGTGGAATTCAAGCCAGCCTGCTGTAACAGCAAGCTGTTGTTTTTTGCAGATTTTGCACACAGATGTTTCCCTGAACATTTAATTATCAAAAGGAGGCTTCCTGATAACTTCAATTATTCCCACAATTTAAAAATTGTATCAAAGTCCACGGAGTATCTTCAGCTGAGGAAACAACAAAGATGGACACCTGTGGTGTTGCTGAACACCTGATGCTTCCTTGCTTTATGCCTTCGTCTCCTAAGCCGTTTTGGCTGTGCTTCAGTGTGCTGTTCTTGCAGGACTGCCTAAGGCTTCCCAGCCCACTTCCCATCTGTATTCCTTCCTCCATTGCAGCCCTGCATTTGTGGGTTTTGCCCATTTATTCCCTTTGCTCTTGTGTGCCTTGTGTCAACCCCAACACTCCTCTTCACTCTCCATGGCTCACATTTTCTTGTTCCTCCCATCTGCCTTATTCAAGCATCCTCCTACTTTATTCCTGCAGTACACTCTTGTTTAAGTTTCTTCTGTAAATAAAGAACAACTCATTCCCTTGTCCCCCAGTTCCTTCCCACCACACCTCTCTGATTTTTACATTCCATAATAATTATCACAGAATCACAGAAAATAGGCCATTAACGGACATTCAGCAATCTTTCGATCGGTAATCTTGTTCAGAGTCAACATTAAATAAATATTCTCATTCCTGTGGTAATCTAATTCAAACATATTATTCTTATAATAGAGAATTTTTCTTTATGGCTAACTTGGATCACAATTTTCATGCAATTTAAGTCCATCTGTTTTTTTCTTAATCCCTGTGGGCTTGGAAAGCAGCTTTCTAGAGCAGCTGTTTGAGTGCTGAGAATGGTGACTATGGTGACTTCTAAGTCCTCTATCCCATTCATATTCTCATCTAACAAATGCCACGTTCTTCTGGGTCCAATGTTTTCCATTTCCTTAGTATTTTTTCCCTATAAACAATCTCTTCCCCTTTCTTTTAGCAAATATAGGTTCCTCATAGCTTCTCCTTTCCCCTTTCTTCCTTTCTCCCATGCTTTCCTCTACTGTTCTGCTTTATATTTCAACATGTCTGTACCTCCCTGTCCCTAAAGACTAATTTCCAATCTTTTTGACAATGCCTGTTCTGCTGTATACCATTGGTGCATGTGGAGGCTTGCTGCAGCCTATGCCAGGAATGTGTTGTATTGGAATGGCAGGAATGCACGGAAGCCATCCCTGTGATGTAAATGCCTTTCAATTACCTTCTCTTTGCAGAATGCCTTTTTTAGTCCTGGCCCCTGTGAAATGCTGCTGGTGCTCTTCTGTCTTCACTGTTTCCATGGTAGCCGATCCCATCCTTCAGTGACTTTCTTGTCAGTGGCCTAAACAAAATCTAGAACTGAGCTGTCATAATTAAATGGAAGGCAGTTTATGATATTTTTGAAGACTTGGTGGTATTACACGGAAAAAGTACCCTGCAGCTAAAACTGGGTAAGTAATTAAGCACCATTACCTTGAATGATGATGCTTTCTGAGGTATTCTGTGGAACATGTCCTGAATATAGTAAAATTGCTATGTTAAATAAAGTTAATGACACTGTTCCAAAAGTACAGAATGTAATGGTTTAATTAACCCAGAGTTACAGCAGCCTGATTTTAAGTAACTCCCTCTCCCTCCAGCCCCTCCCTTAACAGCACTCCTGGTTCAAGTATTTCACTTGTATGCCTCAGGAATCAGCTCCAGATTTGGATTCTGACTGAAATCCCAAAATCAGAGCCTGTAGTTCCAATGATGATTCAAAACCCAGATCTCAATGCTTTCAACTTTTGGCACATTTTGTAGGCCAGATTTAACATCTTCATAGCCTGTCATTTTCAGTGTAATATCTGACTTCCCCCTTTCCCTCTTCCCAAAATGTCTCTGAATACTAACCATGGGGTGTTCAGAAGTTGGGAAATGTTTAAATTTAGATCATCAGGTGTAGGTGAAGAAATGTAAACATGATGCCTTGAGAGGCTGACCTGGAACAGAGGCTAGACAGAGCTAAGAGAATAAAGTAGGTATTTATTAAAAGGCCTTAAAGGATACACCTTGGGCAGCACAAGAGCCTGACCAGGGGTACACCCAAGATGGACCCAAAATGGTCACAAAATGGACAACCGGTCATGAGGTCTCACACTTTTATATGTTTTTGGTCCTTTTGCATATTGGAGTTACTTGTCCAGTTACAGCTTTGGGTTATGAAGTCCCATTCTTCTTGTTTGCCCCCCTCAGTTCTTCGTTGTTTAGACTTTTGTACCTGAAGCTCATAAGGGCTGTCCTTGGTCTCAAGCTGGGAAAGGACTGTTTTGTCTAACCACCCTGCAAAGACAGCTTACTGACACTTAATATGAAGCTCAGAGCTACACATCTAGGCAGCACAGAATCTGAGAAACATGATAGTTAGAATTTAAGGCATCAAATATGGGCAGCCATTCTCAAAACTCTTGGTCAGTATCTGTGTTTTGTGGTCTAATACAGTGTCTCTGTCAAGCTGCTATTCAGTGAACCAGACTGTACAGTAAAGTTGAGAAAGACACATTTCTTTCTCAAATTAATGTATTATCTCAAAGCAATTCAGGTACTGTCATGGATTAACATACCTATTATTGTGAAATACAACATCTGAAATTCTACTCTTTGACCGTATTCTGTATTTTCTTCCAGTTTGGAGAAATCAACGTTAAGAAACACAGAGCTCAAAGCTCTTGGCTTA